CACCAAAAGAAAGCTCTATGTGTCCCCAAAAAAGGGTATAAAATTCATTTCAGTACAGCGCTGCATGACGGAATAAATGTCAGTCAAAGTACCGCAGCGCTGAATACTGAAAAATGGCCTGGATGGGAAGGGGGTTTAACACCGCGGATGTCAACTGGTTAAAACATGCGGTATTTATCTCATATTTTTTTTTTAATATGGTGGTTTCCAGTGAAAAAAGGCACATAGGGGCAGTCATTTGCAACTCATCAGTTATTTTACCTCAAATTTTACCTTTCATTAAGTATTTAGCTTAATGCATTGAGCCCACTGATACTTATTATTGTATATTGTATTATTGTATATATACATTATTATTATTGTATATTGTATACATTAGGTATGAGCGTCCAATAGTTCTGCAGTACAACATTGTCACCTTTAGAAGGCGCCCAAACCGAGGAAACCGGCCATCGTTCGGCGCTAAATTCACAGTCGACGTCACAAGCCTCCCATTGGCGAGGCGTGGTCACACCGGGAAGGTGACGTAAGCAGAGCTAGATATCATCCAGGCGAGGACCGCGAGCGTTACATTCCGGAAGAGGCACCGGCAGGAGACATGGTGAGGAGGGGCACGGAGCAGGCAAGGGGGGGTGCAGTGTGGGTGGCTTTAGCCGTGTGATAAAACCCTCTGCGGGCATTAGACGTTCCTGAACGTAGGATGGTTATAGCAAGACTTATAAAGGGTGTGGCCGGGTGTTCTTAACCTCAGGCAAGGTTCCATACAGAAGCTAAGGCCTCCATTATAAAGCTGTGTGCTATAAAATACCTCTGTGTTGCACTCTAACAGTAGACATAGTCTTTGTGTTAATCTGCTGTTGTCATCTGTCAGAGCAAGGTCTGATTTGTTGCTGTGGAGTAACACAGACAGTTATTATTGCAGACTCGGAGCTAGGTGATGTCTCCCACACCCCCACCAATGATGTTCAGCTGTCATGGAACTGTAAGAGCGGCCGCTCTTACAGTTCCATGACGACTGTTTAGTATGGATGGTGGAATCTATGGATGGTGGAATCTAAGTGTGTATGTATGGCTTGTAAGCCCACCAGATAACACTGACTTGTAGGGCCCCAGGAGCAAAGGTGCCCTTGCTTTCTTCCCTCTATTGTAGAGCTGCACCTTTTATACAGGTTGTGGGGGCCCATTCACAACACATTAATTTGGTTGCAGTAAAAGAGATCTTGCTTGCAGCATCTGATTCTTTTTCATTGACTTGTTCAGTGGTACACCTAAACCACACAGGTGTGAGCTCTCCCATGTACATTCCTATGTGCAGTGACAGGATGACACCTGGGGAATAATGTAGACGGCAACCATATTTTTTTTATATCTATGCTGTATTGTTCTATTCCATTTCCTGTCTGATCTGTCTTTGCTTTCCCCCTCCCAGGGTGACTTGACAGAAGATCAGCTCATTGGTGAGTTACTGTTCTGTTCTCTGATGCTGGTACATAAAACATGTAATTCAATAATGTATAGAGCCACAACTTTATTTTATTGTTTGTAAAGAGTCAGGAAGGGGTTAAAAAAACCCTGCTGTCAGTGGGGGGGTTTTTTTTTTTTATTCTGCTGCTTTCCATTACTTCCTATCATGTAGTCACAACAGGAAGTGAAAATAAATATCTTTAAAGAGAGGGAAATCCTTGATTAGACAGTTGCCACAGCAGCAAGTGTCCCCGTTGGAAGATTTTCTCTCTATCGCTGGTCTGGTGACAACAATTTTAGCTTTTCCCTCGCTTTCAGTCATGACAATGGTCACCAGGACAATTTAGAGAGAGAGAGCATCTCCAGTGGGGACATGGATATCGATTTTAAAAACCTGGTCGAAGTTGCTAACCCTTTCCTTCTCAATCCCAAAACAAGTTTTGGCTTTAGTTGACTAAAAAATGTTGGCGATCGTTGTGTAAACTTGCTTAAATGTTATCTTTTAGGCTTCCTAAGAGTTCACTGACCTACGACCTCCTTTCCTTACACTTTTCAGTTTTCATTCCTCTCTTTTTCTTGCCTGGTGTCTGATCAGGTAGACGGTAAGTGATTACAGCGTGCTCTGATACCTTTTTTTTTTTTTTTCTTTGTATTTTTTCCTTCTATATACTAATATAACTCCTAATTCCTTAACTCTGCATCCTTTTACTTTACACCCTAAAAAGTCTCATTTTAAACTCTCGTCTTGTACTGTTCTCTTCATGTTAACTAGGTTGGAGTATCGGCACGTTGCTTGACTTCTACTGAAAGCCCCTAAAGTTACCCTTAAGCTGGCCGGCTGAATGAAGAAAATATAACCGATTCCTCCATCAATGCTTACAAGTGTTGATTGAGGAATCTCCCGCTGTCTTCATTGTATCTTCTGTCAGAAAACCTGAACAGAGCCTGCAGCTAATTGGCTGTCTGCTCTGCTTTGTTTGTTCAAAGATTTTCCCACCAGCTCTTAGCTGATTGAGGGATGATGGCTGAAAGGGTGCTGATAGCGGCACACATTGTACAAATTTTGCATAGTGTATGGCCAGCTTCAGGCTTTGTCTAGCTGCGACTGTGGAACCAGCGCATGACAAGTCTTCCAAAGAAATTCAAACTCCACTCCACATGCATGTCGGCAAAGAGCAACCGCTGATGCGTTGGCGGTTGTGCTTTGCAGAGATGCATGTGGAGTTTGAATTTCTTTGGAAGATTGTCGTGTCCTGGTTCCACAGTTTCGTAGCTAGACAAGGCCTGAAGCTGGCCATACACTATGCAAAATTTGGCCATACACTATGCAATCCACACTCAGTGCACGGATGAGGGTCATCCGTGCACACAGTGTGGATTGCGGGGAGTCATGATAGGGGTGAGCTGTGTGTTTCGTGTTTTCAGTCTTCTTGTTTAGCTAAGGCCTGGTTCACCCCATGCAGAATGACAACGCATAGCACATAATGTGTGTGCGCTGTGTTGTTATAATTTATTGAAGTGCTTTTATGTCAATTCTATTGTTTCAGGCATCTTTTAACGCAACGATTTTGCATTGGTGTGAACAGGGCTTATTGCATTGTTTTTGCGTTGGGCAATGCAGCCCAATGGGGCTGGTGTGAACAAACCCTCAATATTGTATACCTGTAGGATCTGTCAGTGTGTGTTGGTCAATATTGAGTGAGCTGATGTCTACAACTTGTTTTGTTTCTTGTTGTGCATACATTGCAAGCACAGATCTATGCACAGTCACTAATCTATAAGATGTTATTACATGTGTTTGATGTGCAGCCTTATAAGGCGGTTGTGTTGTGGGTCTGTTCTGGTATTGCATGCAACTTTTAGCATTGCTCTGTGACACATGCCCCCCCTCCCTCGCAGTGATGAAATGGCCGTCGTCTGACTTCTCTCCGGATACCTTATATGGTAACAAAGCCTCATTCTGGCCTTTCTGGTGCTGTGCAGCGAGGAGCGAGGCGTTCCTGCAATAGACACTTCCCTACATTCCTAGCTGGGAAATGCCTGCAGGTTTCTCGGTGTCCCTCCTCCTCGTCCCGCCTAGATTTACCTTTATGTCTAGGCAGTTTTGTAGTCTGTGTTTCAGTGGCAGCTTAGACAGGGTGTGAGCATGAACAGGCAAAGCACTGCAAGGCTGAATAAGCTGCCCAGGCAGGCAGGGTGCAGTGCGAGATGATTACAGCTCCCCTCCCTGGAATTTGTCAGGAGGGGCCGCTCAGGGAGTGCTACAGGAAGGAAGTGGCACACTAATAAGTGACAGGCTGTCTGCATGTAGCCTACGATTTGTGCCTGTGTAGTGGAGGAATGCATGCCACTGCTTCTGTAACCATACAGTCTTCTACTAATTCTTAGCCCAGCTATTATTATTCTTATTTTTTTTTCTTATATTTTTCCCTAAGGCCTGGTTCACACCTAGGCGAATTGCATATGCGCGTCTGTCACGTGTTTTTTTTTTTTTTTTACCGCGATGCGCGGTAAAAAAATTGCGCGACAAACGCGCGTTTCCGAGGGCTACTTGGGCTGTATCCCAATTGAAACGCGCAACAAAAACGGCCCAAAGTAGTACATGTACCTTTTTCAGGCGTGGGCCGTTTTGTAGCGCGTTAGGGACGGGCTGAAATACGGCAAGGTGTGAACCAGACCCATTGAATACAATGGGATTTAGATGTTTGAGCGTTTTGTAGAGCGTTCGTCGAGCGTCAGGTGTGAACGAGGTGTAAATGCATTATTTTGTATTTAAAACACTGAACTGCAGTTTCCAATAATTTGACCAATCTTCCAGCAATTCCAGATATCTGTATCGGGAATATCAATCCTATTGCACACCTTTTTGTGTTGTGTCCTCAGCAAAAAGACCTTGCCCACCAAACCTTCATTTTATATCGCTTACAAACGACATGGTACAGAACCTAGTAGAGAGCCTTGTTATACACCACTAGTGACCGCTCTCTGTTCTGAATTGGTCCTTCATTGTGAGGACATCCTGCCCACAGACCGGAGTGTCAGAGAGAAGAGGTAGAAACGCTGACTGCTGGGGGAGTGAAGGATAAATGAGTAAAAGTGCTTTGTACTAGTACCCTAGGAAAAAGCGGGGCTTTAAAGTGACGCTAAACTCTGGCATTAAAGAAGAATTAAACTCTTCTTTGTTTTTGGATATATCTACTGCTAACCAGCTGCAGTGTGCAGAAAACCCAGCACTTGTCAGAGACCAATTCAGTCACTCTTCCAAACGGTCCAAAATAAAGTTATTTAACTCCAGCTGTGATACAAGAAAAATGCAGCGCAGTATGTTAAAATCACATCAGTGCCCATGCATTTAATGCAGTCAACACAACACACATGGTATGAATCCATCCTGATGCTGCAACATCTAACAGGAACTGAACAAATCTTTGTGGACAGGCTCACTGTTTTTATTTTGAGTGGGTTGTTGGTTCAGTTCAAGGAACACTCAGCACTTCCTCCCCCTTACACTGTGGTTGTGTTATTGTGAACAAGAAATAAGGTGCCTTGCCAAAGTAGCTCCTCAAGACTGTCGTTTTCATCCACCTTCCAAGTTCATGTCACATACAGGGCCTAAAGAAGAGGGAGGTTAGCCTAGTCCATCTTAAACATATTTGCATGCTTGCTAATGTGTGCAAAGTTTCCAGTAAGCTTCTTCATATAGCTGTTCTAGTTCAGGCGACAAGTGAACTGCTGGTTATTGGTAAGATTGCTGTAAGTGCCAAAATCTGCCTTGGGTATAACATTTGATTTAGGCAGAAATGGAATCCACCTCCGAGTCCAGACACAGACCTCTAAGCAGCATATATATATTTTTTTACCTGAACTGTTGAGCTGACTTGTCGTGTATAGACATCAGGATGCTGAGGGACATTCCAGTGGAGGAGACAGGCTTCAGTGACCGGAGAAGCAGGGAATTTACTTGAAATGAGCTGCAAAATGAATCTAGCGGCATTTCAGTTGCCTAATACTGCCATTACAGTTTGTGAAGGCCACTTTAAGTTCCAATAGCTTAAAGGCCCATTCACAGATATGGGTTACAGCATTGTGCGGGGAAAATGAGCATTTTACTGCATGGTAACGTAGACTTAATGGCTAAAGCAACTGTTGGCACTTTAAAAGGGAACTATAGCCAAACCATTTTTTGGGGCTTTTCCTCTTTTAGGTCAAGGAGGACATTTTACTAATGTCCTTCTGTGACTCAAACTCTGCATATAGTGGGGCTACTGCCCACTATATACTGACCGCACAGAGCCGCGCAGCAGCTGGGAAAGGTCCCAACAATGTTGTTGGGATCCACCCCGCTGCCTGACAGCTGCCTCTGCCTCTCTAGAGCCTGCTGTGCCCGCCCCCTCCCCGGGGGGGGGGGGGGGGGGGGGGGAGAAGAAGTCATGAGCTGAGTGATCAGCAGTTTGTGATCGCTCAGTTCCCAAGTAGTAGAGCCGGCGTGTGACAACTGCAGTGTCACACTTCGGCTCAAACTAATGGGGAGAAAACATTTTACTGTAGCATTGGTAGAACAGTGAAACCACCCTTGTCCACAGAAGCCTTGCAACGCATACAATGGCCCTTTCTGAGTGGGCAAACTGTTTCCCCTAATAAACCCCACCCTACCCCCCAAAAATCCCAGGCCAGTACCTGTATTACCAGAGAGCAAGGTGGTAACAAACTCTTGAAGAACTAATGACAGGAAAAGGGAAACGGTTTACCTTGGGATGCATTCCATTGTGGGGATCTTGGGTTTGTCATCTTTTAACATCAGCAGAACCTTGGGGACAATAACTGCTATGAAGACCACTGGAATTTAGTTTGGACTAGAAAGCCTCCCCAACTGGGATAATTGGACTAGAAAGCCTCCCCAACTGGGATAATTGGACTAGAAAGCCTCTCCACCGGGATAATTGTTAAATTGTGGTCTGTGGTCTATGTCCCTGTTGAAACATTGAGCACCTAATATGGTAACCAGTTGTGGGAAGAAATTTCCTCTCCAAACCTTATCTGACTGACCCTCGGATGTCTAGCAGTTATAGGATGACATATGGATGACATTTAAGACTTTTCTGCAAGTAGAGTAACACAATCAGGTAATAGGAAGGCTTGTACTGTGCAATTCAGAACTATCTGCCTAGAATTCAACATGCATACATTTCAGACAAATAATGCCTCTGTCTGTCTGCACATTTTGAAATGACATCTGCTTTGACAAATTCCCTCTTGATGTAATAAACATTGCTTAGAAAGAGTAATGTAAATTTCTTCTTCCAGATTACAAAGATGCTTTTAACCTCTTCGATAAGACTGGAGATGGTAAAATCTTCTATTTCCAGTGTGGAGATGTCCTGCGAGCTTTGGGGCAAAACCCAACGAATGCCGAAGTCATGAAAGTTTTGGGAAACCCAAAGAGTGATGGTGAGTTATCTCTCTAGTAGAAACTGTTTTACAATGGTCTTCCCTATGTTGGATGAGATAGGACAGGAAATGCTAGTGATGTAGGGGTCAGCAGAAAGGACCACAGTGCATGGTGATAGATGCTGCCATCAGATGCTCCGGAAGTGTTGATTGCAAAGATTCTTCTTGGGGCAGTAGTATTTGCAAAGATCTGAGAAACGGGTGGCATGACAGGGGAGTAAAAAAAAAAGTGTGGTTTTCATCACTGTAGAAGGAGTGCAGGGTAACCATTTACTTGGTAAAGACCTATGGGCAGCACAGTGGTATAGCGGTTAGCGCTTCTGTCTTGCAGCACTGGGGGTCCCTGGTTTTTGAATCCCGGCCAGGACACTATCTGCAAGGAGTTTGCATGTTCTCCCTCTGCTTGTGTAGGTTTCCTCCCACACTCCAAAGACATGCTGGAAAGTTAATTGGCCCTCGTATGTATGCAGGGACCTTAGACTGTAAGCTCCTTGAGGACACGGATTGATGTGAATGGGCAACTATGTAAAGGACTGTGTACATTGTCAGCACTATGTAACATGCCAATAATACGTCTTTACTATGTGTAGGTGACGGACACACTTTTCATTCAGCATGGAAACTTCATTCACAAGTAGTGTTCAGTGTGCACGTCATTGGACATTTAACATACAATATGTATGGTGTCTGTTTTTGCTTTATTTTCTGCAACTAAGCATAGTTTCTTTTCACAGAGATGAACAGCAAGATGCTTGACTTTGAGCAGTTCCTTCCTATGTTGCAAACAATCGCTAAAAACAAGGACCAGTGCACAATTGAGGACTTCGTTGAGGGGCTGAAAGTGTTCGACAAGGAAGGCAATGGATGTGTAATGGGGGCAGAACTTCGCCACGTACTAATTACTTTAGGTAACAACTATCTTAGGAACAAAGCCTGTGTTCTGTTGCGCATTCATTTTAGTTTCATATTTGAGCAACTGTGTTGACCAGAACGTGGTCTAGTGGTCCAGTACTGAATTTGTAGGAATCCAATGACTGGTGTCTGTTAAGGGAGGGCTTAATTAGCACATCCTGTTTTATAAAGGATATTTTAACAGACTGAATGGCTGCACATGACATAGTCACTACTCCTTATGGAACTATGTTCAGGGACAGGGCAAAATGGTAATGCAGTATTTTTCTGAAGAGGTCCATATTTTAGCTTTTAAAACCGGAAATGATGGCATAATTTAAAGAAACTGTGCTTGGAAAGACTAACCATCAAAGCACTGCAGCCTACCTAGATTTTCAGCAATTGGCTCAGTCAGAAAAGGCTGATGGAACTGATGGAGTGGGTCTTTCAATGTAGCAGAACTGTTGGTGATGGGATTCCTCCATTAGGTTAGCCTAAAGGTGCCCATACACTGCTCGATTCTCGTATGAGAATCGCGGGAAATCCCGCGATCGTACGAGAATCGAGCAGTGTGAACGAAGACGTGCGACCGTACAGTAGAAAAACGCTAGAAAAACAGCCGAAACTCGTAATGGGGGGGCGGGCTTGCGATGATCGAGAGTACGATCTGCCTGTCCAAGATGGGCAGATCGTACGTTTTTGTTTTTTTTAATCACTTTACAACCATCGCAAGGCTAAGGTCTTGCGATGGTTGTACAGTGTATGGCCACCTTCAGTCTTTTATAAAATAAATCTACACTTAAAGGGCAGAGCACTTAAAGCTGGTAGATGGTAGAAGTACATTAGGTTTCTTGAGACTCCATTGATGACATCCATGCTCCTGAGTTCCTGGGCCTGCCCTCCGGAGGTCATAATGAGGAGAAGACTCATGGTTGATTTTTGTTAATGTGAATATTCATTTTAAAAAGAGGAAATGCATGCGTTTACTGTTTTACCTGCCAAAGTGTTTGTAACTCTTGCACAAGCAATCTGGTGCTGTACACATACTTTCCACACTGCACAGTCCTAAAAGTGACACATGTCGTTTCTAATTAAGCAATTTCTTCCATCTTCTTGGTTAGAAATCCTTTGACAGACAGTGTACATGTGTTTTTATGTGCAAAATGTGTGTTGTGACCCCGTAATATAAATGAGAATATCCCAAGTGTTATCACATCTAATGTATTTGAAAACTCGATGATGGTCTGTAACAAAACGAATTGCAAGAAAAAGAAGCTCGTTTGTGTGTAGGTGCTACGCGAGCTCAGCAATGTCTTCCAGCTCACGCAACACCTACGCACAAACCAGCTTCTCTTCTCTTTTTTTCTTACATGTGTTTTAACATTTTGTCTGGATTTCCACTTTAACTTGCTTTGTGGATGACAAGGCAGGTAGAGACATAGCAGATAAATACAAGTTGTACTCTCTTCTAAAAGAAGTTAGTTTACATTGATGACTGAAATACCATTTGAGGCCGAACTGTTCCCTTAGTGGTTACCTTATGCACTTTATTCTGAAAACCTCTGTTGTGTTTCAGGAGAAAAGATGCAAGAGGATGAGGTGGAAATGCTTCTGTCTGGGCATGAAAATGCTAATGGAGAAATTTGTTATGAAGGTAAGTGCATGCTCTTTTCTATGTAAATGAAATCTGTCTTTTTTTTCTTGCTGATTTAAGAAGGAGCCTTCAATTACTAGGTATGCCTGTAATTCTTTTTACTTTTGTGTTGCTCATCCCATTTCCACTCAAAAGAAACTTTCCTGCCATAATTGTATGTTCAGGGACTATAAATGTTTATTTGGCAATTAACTTCTGTTTCATGTAATCTTTTGTTTATAAAGGGCCACTAAACCTAAAGCAGAAGTTGTTTAATATAAAGAAGCTCATATGACACTTCAGACGTACATTTCAGATTATCTTGGCATTTCCTGACCTACAGACTGCCAGCTACTGCTCTACATATGTAAGAGAGGCTGAGCAGAAGCCACCTTTCTGAATGTTAGGTTTATTGGTCCTTGACTGTGGTAATTTTTTTATTCTAATTCTGTTTGGGGTTTCTCTGATGAATCTTCCTTCCAACAGACTTTATCAGGCACGTCATGTCTAGCTGACCACCCCCCCTGGGTATGCTGGTTCCTCCATCTGGTTTCAGTTTGTTTGTTTTTTACTTTTATCCCTCTTTAAATGTCTTCCATCTCCTGGATGCATTGGCATGTCTCTGCATGCTCTCTGCTCTGCCAGAGCTGCATTGTATTAGTTAGCTCCTTTAACAAAACTAAGCTGTCATGGCGGCACCTTAATAAACTTGGCCAGTGAACTTCCTTTTGCAGAAAAACTACCTGCGACTGTGTGCGATGTGTAATTGCTGTTTGACATTAGTTGTTAACATTTTAGTATTTGCTTAACTTTTGAGGCCAAATAGCCACCCTGGGGTAGAGCCATGGATAAATAAGTTTTGAATAGCTACTTTCACCAAGAACCAAGTCTATGGTGCGGTACCATGTGCATTAGAGGTACTAATTCACATACAACTGTTTTTTTTTTTTTTTCATCATCTGATATTTTGGGAAGTCCAAATGACAGGTCAGAGCAGTAACCTTGCGGCATTAATGTCAATCCATGCACTGATGCAGAATTTTCATAAATATATGTTGCCTTGACACTGGAACACTGATCTTTCAGTGATTAGATTGTTACCTAATTTTTGATTTACACTAAAGATGTAAGAAAATTGAAATGGCCCAACGGTTACCTGTTGAGTAAAACCTCAGTAAGTCCTCAGTTATATTTAGACCCTATGGCAAGATAACACAAGGTATCAAACCTTGTCTGAAACAGAAGTGTGACGTTGGACTGGTGTGTGCAATGTGGTTTCCTCCTGCAGTTCTGAATACTTTTTGCTTTCTTGCTCTTGGCGATCTGTTGATTTGTACTGCTTCTTTTAGTAGATGTAGATGTTTCCAATGCTTCAGCTAAATACTTTTTGCCTTTTCAATACTTGCTGTAGATGACATTGTACTGATCAGTAGTACATAACACATTTTGTGATCTGGGAGAGGGGCTCCTATGGTTGTGGGGATGGGATTGTTTTTGTTTTGTTTTCTAAACAGAAATTGGGTCCAAAAAAAGATTTCTTTCATTTGTTCTTCTGTAGGATTTCAAAAAAAATAAGTCATCTGATGGACGTGTCATTTTTATTGGTTTAATTGGTACTCCTAGAACATGTAAAAGACAAATCTTGTATGTCCGAGTCCATGAAACATATTGTTTGTAAGCCTACTGACATCCATTCATACAAGAGATCTTTCATAAACTGTAGCAAAACACTCAACCATATTAGATTCAAGTCTCATTCTGGACTCTAACAGCAACTCTGAGCTGGAGTATTTGTTACTTTGTTGTACTCGCATACACTATAAAGCTATCGGAAGAAATGCTCACATCTGTCGAGTCCCTGGTGTTAGTAAGTTTGAAAGCACTCTTTGACTACCTGGACCACTGTAGACTACAAGACTTCGACATCAGAATTCACAATTTCATTTGGTTTCATGATTAAGTGTCTAAAAGAACAAATATTCTCAGTGCCCATTGCAGCCAGTCAGTTTTCTTTTGCTTGTTATTTTAGCCTGAAAAGTTGACTGGTTTACGCAACAGACTTAATTTTGATCCGTAAGGGTGTTGATTTGATTGACTCCTCAGCAAAATGTCTAGCATCATTGTTGTGTTCATTTAGGGACTATATTACTTAAGTCAGCCCTGTAGGCCCATCTTCTAATGTGGGAGCCCCTGCCCCTTTTACAAGGAATCGTGTGCTTTGTGGCTCGAGTTTCACAGAAATGTGGTGATTTCATCACCTTTTACGGGGTCCAGTGTCCGTATTGAAATCACTTTGCTATTTCTTGTGTAAACAGAAGAGCACACTTCCCATACCAAGCTTTCTAACACATGAGTAACTTATTTTCTTTTTGTTTTGTTTGCAGAACTGGTCCGGATGGTAATAAATGGCTGAATCTTCTCTGCTTCAGAGCACCAGCATCCAGAAGGGGGCAGTTCTTTGTATTAATGCTCCTGTCTTTTATATTTTATTTTCCTTGGAGGGAAGGTTGAGCTTACTAGTGGTGGGCATTTTGTTTCCTCCATTGGTCTGTCTCAGGAGAGCAGCCGGCTCACCACAGGGGACTCGTTGCTCTTTGAGACAAGAGATCACATCATCATCATCACTGCTCCCACGCGTGAACCACTGCAAAAGGAACCTGGAGTTCAGTAGTTATTGTACCATGCAGATAATAAATTATTTCTATTTTTCCTTCTCGCCAAATAAACTGCATGCCTTTTCCTAAACATACCTGTGACTTTAAGCATTGTGAATTAATACCGGATGAATAATGAATGGTCCCCTTTTGTCCTCTCATTCTGCATATAAACACACTACATCAGGGCTAAAAATTTCCACTCGCCCCCCTCGCAAATGGCGAGTGAAAACTGCGTGGGGGCGAGTGGAAATGAAGCTTTTGAGTCTGGCACTATCGCAGAGGCAGCTGCTCGTCCAGCCATAGATCGGATCTGCAGCTCATCCTCAGAGCGCAGGAGCTGAATAGGGGAAGCGTCCTGGCTGCTTGCACATGCTCAGTGCAAGTTTTCTTTCCCAGAGTGTCAGTGTTCTCTGGGTCTGAAACCCGAGCTTTCTGCTCTAACAAAGTAAACTCTGCAGAAGTTAGAGCAGTGATTTAACCCCTACTGTGCCACAGGATCTATACAGTTTGGACACACAAATGTATTTATTAATATGAGCAAATGTGTTTGTGTAATGCCCTGTGTGTGTGGTGTGTGTTTTGTGCTATGCCCAGTATTGGTCCAGCAAGAGAATGATTAGTTTGTTCCCAGGTACACTCGGTACAAGATGGATAGGATGGAGTGGGGTCAGGCAGGGCAAATGGTGGCAAGTAACTTTTAAGGCCTGGCTAGTAGCTCAGGACCTGAAATTTTGAGTCCTGCACTACATGATGTAGGAGGATTGGTCTTTCCATATATTTGATTTCAATGCACCGCCATGCCCCCTACCGCTCCTAGGAAAATAAACTATATGAAGAACTTGCTCATTGTGACTAGTTACTTTTTTTATTTTTCTAAATAATATGAAACCTAATTTGGTCACTATTGCCAAGTTGTTTTGTGGAGATCCCTTTTCTCCAGTAGTAATATATGGATTTTATGTTGCCATCATTGGTGTACCATTTACTTGGTGAAAGGATCAGTTAGTTACACAAGTGGCCTTACTAAAAAACCTCAATCTCATTTGCAGTTTTATATTTAATCAGTGCTTGCTCATGCTTCTAGTGACTTACTTGGCTCAGTCATACCCAGCTCATACAATTGCAAGATCTATGAAGCATTCACCGAGTTAACACTTGTATGTCCTGCATTAAGAAATTGGAGCTAAAATATTTTCATTGTTTGCACTGATAATCTTTTACGGCAGGGGTGCCCATAACGTCGGTCGTGATCTACCAGTGATCGCGATGTCCTCTTCTCCCTCCCGTGGGGTTTCTCTGGATCCCCCCTGCCCTCCCCATCTGTATGCAGCGGGGATCCGAGAAGAAGTGAAGGAACCGTCGCAGCCGAGGACGGAGCCGCTGTAACAGAACTAAGGCCGAGCGGTGAGGAGAGAGGGAGACGCTCGGTCAGGTTCTGACAGCCGGCGCCTCTTTCTCCCCTCACCGCTCGGCCTTAGTTCTGTTACAGCGGCTCCGTCCTCGGCTGCGACGGTTCCTTCACTTCTTCTCGGATCCCCGCTGCATACAGATGGGGAGGGCAGGGGGGATCCAGAGAAGAAAATGAGACCCCCCCCCCCGTGCGTGGCCGAGCGGCAGAGGATCAGTACATATCAGTGATGTGCAGGACAAACACTGATCACTCCAGTGTTTGTAAATAACTGGGGACACATAGTACTACATGTACCCAGTTATTTACAATGTGTCCCCAGTTATGAATGAACAGGATGAGAATTACATCACTTTCTGTTCATTCATGAGTTTCTCAATGGGGAGAAGCACTCAGTACAGAGGCTCCTCCCCATTCAGAAAACGGATGATCGTAAAATATTTTCTGAATGAATGGGAAGCCTCTTTGCTTTCCATTCATTCAGAACAGAGGCTGCAGAAAGAGATTGTGTCGTCAATTTCTTTTTCTATTTTAAAAGGGAAATATCAGGGGGCTAGACCCCAAATATTTCCCCAAAAGCCCCCCCCCCCAAGGGAAAACAAAAATTGATTTAAAAAATAAATTAAATACAATTAAAAAGAAATAATAAAAAAAAATCCTGGAGGCAGGGCGCTGGGTGACATCACACGCCTGTTGGGGATGGGGGGAGCTGGCTACGGCTATGCTTCCGCGGTGCTCATGCGACTGCCGGCTGAATGTGTCAGACACTGCAGAAGGAAAGGGGCAGGACACCTCTCCCCATGTGCAACGTCGGCCACACGAGCACCACGGGAGGACAGGACGCCGGGGCCTCTAGGACGCACTGGAATGTAAGCCGGCCGACTCCCTGCGTTCATGGGCAGGAGGGGGTGTGGGGTTGTATTGAAGTCAATGGCGCCGCAGCCATGCCCCCCACCCACAGTGCGATCGCCTGCACCCGAAACACAGGCACATTAGTGCCTGCATTCTGGTCCAGTGCAAACTGCAAAAATAGTGCTTTCCTCATTTTTGTGGCTATCCTATAAAAATTATACCATGAGAAGTGTGCATTTAAGCTAACCCAAAGATCGACTAGGCCAGTGTTTCTGAACCCCAGGCAAAAAAAGATGTGGACTTCCCTTTCACATCAGGATCCCCCTTCACATATTCCCCTTCCTTTAGTGAAAATTTGACAACACCTCTGACAAAGCCAGAAGGCGCCCTGGTTAAGAAATGCTGGACTAGAATGGACAAATCCAAGTAATGTGTTCAGGATGTGAAATGGAAGCGGAAACTGACAGCCAACTGGGAATGGAAAGAACCCAAGATAGGCGAACAGAACGATGCATGGGCAACTGGAGTTTTATTTAAAGCCTGTGTCAAGGCAATACAAAACCACACCCCACCACAATACATGCACATTTACCCATGTTTTATCCCTTTTAAAAACACTCAAGTGCTGAAAAATACATGTTGATCTGCCAGAAACGTGCTTGCTTAATTCCTGTGGGCTGTGAGCACAAGTTTTTTTTGTGGAACGCCGTCAGCCCTGTCCAGTGTGTTGTGTCTGCTAAGCTACTCATTCAATTCCACTTGCAAATCTCTGCAGCATGAAGTCTTCTTATTCTGTAGTCAGATCACTTGGAAGGCCACATAGGTTTTTGAAAACATAGGTAGTGTGCAGAGGACACATGACAGCTCTGAATTTCTGACCAGGTCAAAAGGTACTATTCTAAAGTTTTAAACAAGAAGCAAATGATCTCAAGCTCGTTCACACATTTTTAGTTAGGCCTCATTCACACTTTGATTTGGGAAGCCTAAATTTCCTGTTTAGATGCAGCGTCTGTCACCCATTCAAGTTAATGAACGGGTGACAGCAGTCGCATCTGTAATCGGCACTCCTCATCTAATCCTATGTGACACAATTATATGCGGTTTGGAATAGATTACTGTTTCTGGATCTATCGATCGTGCATCCAGTGACAATCATCTATTCCAAACTGCATGTAATCCTATTACATACGATCACATGCAGGCAGCCGCTGTCACCCGGTCATTACCTTAAATGGGTGACAAAGGCCAGAGGAGATTTGGGATTCCTGCGGCAGTGTGAAGAGTGTTAGAACTAAAGGTATTTGCATATATTCTTGGCATTTGCAAAAGATGTGCATTAGAAGTTTTTATACACTGCCACAAACTTGTTGAATCTCTCTTCTGGTATTGACTTAGTCATAACTCATAATTATCCCTTGCAAGGTTGCCTCATTTGGCATTGGTATACCAGGGCTATTTTGTTCCTCAGGGACTTCACTGGAAGTTACTCCAACGTATGCTTAATGTTCTGGATGGCCTTTTAGCAGCCACAGTCCAGGTGTTCAACATGATCACTTGTGGGAATCAGTCTGTTCAACTTTAACATCATCCTTTGCTGTGCCTATGCAGGGCAAAGGAAAATATTCACTTAAAGGGTTTCTAAACCCTCACGTTTTTTTGCATATATCTATGGCTAGCAAGCAGTAGATATATGCAAACAGTTAAAAAAAAAACAAAAAAACAAAACCCCGCTTTAAAAGCATTTTAAACTTACCTGTGTCTTCGCCGCGCGCTCCCGTCCAAAAATGCTTGGGCGGCTGCAAAGCATCTTGGGGCGGGTGCATGCGCAGTTTGGATTTTCGGCCGGGAGACGAGGAGAGACACAAGGTAAGTCTATGGACGCGTGCACCCGCATGCAGACACCGTGGGCCAGGAAGTGCCAGTAAGGACAGAGGAGTCAGCGCTGGATCGGAGACCCGCAGCAGCGCTGGAGAGGAGGCTGGAGAGGAAGATCGGATTAAGAGACATAATTTAAGGTAAGTGCTGACATTTACACTGGGGGGAGGGAAAAAAGTTTTTGACTTTAATGTCACTTTAATTGCTTGGCCACCTTCTGCATATACTCCACTTTATTTGCTCCTCATCACTTCTCGGAGGAAAGCGACATATGGTTCTTACTGGTATAGGATAGCATGTGACTCTACATTCCACCCGTAATGCAACAGTGGTGCCGCAGCATTCACTTGGTTGGACAAAATCACGTGGGGAGCAGAGAACGGTTGTGGACTTTCTCCTCTGCCTGGTACATGGTGATAGCAAAAGGGAAGGTGAGCATACACATCGGAGGATGAACTATTTAAGTCATACTGTATAAGCAAAGCACAGTTTCCCCTTCCTAAATATCCTGGCAGTATGAACTCTGTTTTGGGAAACCTAAGCATGCAACATTAAAATAGAATAAAACCTTAAACAAAAATGCCTATAAAATGTATTTGGTGTTCATAAGCATGGCCAGGGGAGTGTCTACCCCATTTCAGCAGATCCTACTAAAATCGTCTTCTGGCCCACCTCCTTTCCCGAGGTTATTTGATGATTGAATCAGTGAAGATTCTCCCTGCATATTCTTGAGCGCCGCTAAGAGAAATACAAAAGCCAATTAAAACCTTATGTACAACATCTGCTAAACATATGTTTCTGTAAGCCCAGGCAATGGCAGCTCAAAAGGGAAATGTAGCCTCTAAGGCCCTTCTACGACACCAAGGACTGCTGATGCATGAAATATACAGTGAGGGGAATTCATCAAAACTGGAGCATAATACTCTGGAGCAGTTCCCCATGGCAACCAATCAGCTT